GGTTTCGTTGAAACCTGATGGTAAAACGCAGAATTTGTGGGGATTACCGTATCACAGTCAACAGATACTTAAAGCAAACTAGCTGCTCAACCATTGAACCCGAAGACATCCTCCATCAATTTCATGGATCAAAGTTCTTTTCCAAACTAGATTTAAAGGATGCATTTCTTCAGGTATTACTTGATGAGAATTCTAGAGCATTGACCACAATTAACACACCGTTTGGTCTAGTTCGTTTTAACTTTTTGCCATTTGGTCTTAGTGTTTCACCGGCTGTATTTCAGAATGTTGTGAATTCTCTTATTTCTGGTTTGGATGGAGTTTCGGTTTACCAAGATGACATTATCGTTCATGCACCAACCAAAGAACTACATGATAAGCGTCTGTGCTTACTGCTTGAACGGTTCCATATCCATAATGTTGCTATCAATGCGAATAAATGTACATTTTCTACACCAAAATTTTCCTGTTTAGGTTTTCTTGTTGATGGATATGGTTTCCGTTCTGATCCTACTCGTTTTTCTTCTCTTTCTAACGCACTTTCTCCCAAGTCAGTTGAAGAACTTCGTTCATTACTTGGTTCACTTCAGTATTATTCTAGATTCATTCCAGATTTTGCCACCAAAGCAGAACCATTGTTCACACTTGTCTCAAAGCGAACATTTCAATGGACATGTATTCATGAAATCATCCTTAGAAACTTACTAAGTTTTCTTTCCACGGATGCAGTTTTACATGCTTTTTCACCCAAAGCACATTCGACGGTAATTACAGACGCATCACCAGTTGGCATAGCAGCAGTGTGGGAGCAGAACGGCCATCCAGTTCTATGTATTTCGCGCAGACTCACTCATGCTGAACGTGGTTACTCCCAAACACATAGAGAGGCTCCTGCAGTATACTGGGCTGTTACTCGAAATCACAAATACGGATAAGGCTCACATTTCACAATTATATCGGACCACGAGGCATTTAAGTTCATTTACAATCCCCACCGATCTCTGGCAAAGTCATCAGCGGCCATGGTACAGCGATGGAGCGTCACATTAGCCGGTTATTCTTACGATATTCAACATCGCAAGGCTCATTTGATTCAACACGTGGACTATTTATCGAGTTCTGCCTTGCCAGAGGAGCCTAGTACATCTGATTGTTTGCTGATACAACCACTTCCTGTTAGTCGATCCGACCTAGTCCGATAGACAAAGAGGTACTATCATGCAGTTATTTCTTGTATTCAACACGGTTGGCGAACTGACACCAAGCGCCGGTTTCCAGAGTTTTATAAACGCCGTGAAGAACTCTCAGTCACTTGTGATGGAATATTGTCTCAATGACGGAACAATCATTCCTCCATCTTTACGCTCCGTAGTGCTGAGTGACTTGCATTCGGGACATCTCGGTATTGAGATGAAATCACTTGCACGTTTGACTTGCTGGTGGCCGCAGCTTAACAGTGATTTGCGTCGAGTGGCCAGATCATGTACTGACTGCATCCACAAAGATCGCACACAACCATCTAAGTGGACTCCTTGGCCAATGTCTTCTGAACCCTGGCAGCGAGTGCATGCCGATTACTGTGGTCCCTTCCTAAACAAATACCACGCCCTGGTGATTATCGACTCTTATTCACGTTGGCCTGAGGTTTATTTCACTACGTCACCCAACGCATAATTCACTATAACTGCTTTCCGGAAAACGTTCAACCGGGAGGGTGTTCTACGAGCTGTCGTCACTGACAATGGTAATCACTTCACAGCAAACAGCGTGACAGATTGGTTGAAATCCATTGGCTGTCGACATGTCCTAACTCCACCTCGAAACCCACAGTCAAATGGTGCAGCAGAAAACTTCATCCGGACATTGAAAAGTGCAATTGCATTCTGCCACATCTCTACTTTCACTGATTTAAGACAGAGGTGTTGATAATTTCCTCATGCAGTACAGGAATTCAACTCATGCTGCTACGGGGATCAGTCCGACCAAATTATTCAAAAATCGTATACTACGTGCCAATCTTCTCAACCTGGAATCAGCTGAAGTGATTTAGCATTGTGAAGATTATCTACGTCCTTCAAGAGGATTGGTGTTGAACCAGATTGGTGAAAGAATGTATAACCTTTTTGACTTAGATGACGGGTCAGTTCATCGCAGACATAGTGACCAAATAATTTGTAATACTCCCAATTCTGAACGTTCTAATCCTTCTCTTTCCGAGTTTATTTCAGACGAAAACCATTCAAATGAACCTTCTGAGAGTTCCATTGAAAATCCTCGACGATCCGAACGTTTACGTTTCAAAGAGAGACCTGATTACAACAACCCCGAGCTTCATTCAAGCTGCGGTGGATGTGGTGATTGTGTATAAACTGAATATTCTTGTTTTTATACATAATCGATTGCTTTGTACAATGTCGGTGCGTAATACAAAAACTGACTTCGAATGTTCTGGAGTTCTATTCCATTCTGCGTACTAGTTCGGTTGGAGCTTAATTGCGCGGATTACTGCGGTTCAATTTCTGATACCAAGTACAGATTACCACAACGTCGTCCTCCGTTTCGTGAATCACCTCGTTTTCTTCTCTTACGAACGTACGTTTGCGACCTATACGTATTAGCTCGGGGTACCGATACCCTAGTACCTACAAATTGGTGAGCCCTCATTTTATTTTATTCACGTTGGAAAATTTTTGTTTTCGAAGGAATTTTAATTTCTCTAGGTCACGTTTGTGCTGAATTGTCCGGGTATTTATTTTCGCGGTAACACTCTCGTGCGTGTAATTTTAGATTATATTCACCCCCAGTTTGCGGTTTTGTCATCATTTACTATTGCATTTTTGCCCACTTTCGTTTTTATAACGTAGTTTGTATTTTAGGTGTTATTCGGTAATACTTTTGTAGCCCGTTCCAAAATCGCATATTATATATTTGCGATTAAGTATGATTAGCCCCGATCATAAGCACTCCATAGGCAGCGAGGCACTCTGGGCCCAAATCAGTGCTCCTGAGTTCATGCCGGAGGATCCAGATGCGTTCCTCACGCTTCTGGAATCGTGATTCCATGAAGCTCGCATCACCGGGCAACTGTCCGGATATCATAAGCTGTTGTCCACGATCCCGCGCGACATGCTTATTGTAGTGATCAACTTCCGGGATATTTACATGTATATTCCTGTGCACAATCCGTACGACGTGCTCAAAGAAGCACTTCTTTGTCGTATGGCAGTTTCCGAAGAGAAACGCATCCAGCTCCTCCTGTCAGGGATCGAATTGGGAAACCTCAAACCGTCCCAGTTGTTACGTTAAATGCGTGCGTTAGTCAGCAACACCACACTCGACGACTCCGTACTACGCCAGATTTTGGCTTCAACGGCTTCCGCCATACGTACAGAG